AAAATAAAAGGGGATCCCAAAAGAGAACTATGAAACTGTACGACATATAACACTTCAATCAAACATTCGTCTAGAGATTTACTTAGCCTGGAGCCTCTTTTTGCGCTCCAACATGGAGTCATAGATCTTGTGCTGGTCAGGAAGATGCTTTTACACCAATAAACCCAAGCAACAAGTGCAGGGCACTCTGCCACAATGTTGAAGTTGCCACACTGCTCATAAGCAAAGAAAAAGCTATAAGATGGAACCAATGCCACATCCACAATGCCAAAGGTCTCTCCCCCAAAGTAAGGCTTGTCTCCAAGTTCTCCTTCCAACACCTTCAAGTACCCTATGAGGTCATTCTTTGCTGTTTCTTGGGCTTCACCTGTGGAAAACATTAGCTGCATCCCAGCGCTATAAATCTGTATAACATATCACATGTAAATGTTGGTCAGACGGCATAATATTTACCGATTATGATCCTCTATCTCCACTCCCCTATCCCAAAATACTCACAGTGGTTGGTTCATTGAAAAAACTATGCACCTTGATAAAGTACACTAAAAATGAAGTGTATGAAGTAAATTCAAATTTAGTGTAGTGTGAGTCATACCTAGAATAAATTTACTCCACGCATTTCATCTTCACTTAATTTTTCTAGTATTGCTAATTATTATTATTTTTTCCCAACTAATTTGTTGAAATTGTGTGGCCTGGCACAGATTTATGCAGCATGTAAGAAGGTATGGATGAGTAAAGGAGAAGATCAAGAGACAGCCAAAAGAGAACTGATAGAGATCTTTAAGTTGCTAGAGGGAGAGCTTGGTGACAAGCCCTACTTTGGTGGTGACAACTTTGGGTTGGTTGACATTGCACTTGTCCCATTTTATAGCAGGTTTTACACATTGGAGAAATTTGGGAATTTCAGCATAGAAGCAGAGTGCCCCCTTTTGGTGGCATGGGCTAAAAGGTTTATCAAAAAGGAAAGTGTGTCCAAGTGTCTTCAAGACCCAGAAAAACTCTATGAGTTTGTTGTCAAGCTTAATAAGATGTTCGGAGTAGAGTAGAGTAGAGTGGCCTGCCTTTGACAGTATTTATATGTTTAGTCTCCAATTGGCATGGTAATAAAGAAGTTATAGTTGCACAATTGAAGTTATTTTGATAGCATTATTGGCATGGTAATCAAGAAGTTCTATTTGCACAATTAAACTTATTTTGATAGCATGCGCTATATCGATGTTTCTATGAGTCATATAACTTGTAATAATACAGGATTCTTTGTCCTCAAATTTCTATGTATCTCCGTCTTAATACATTCTCAATTGTTAAATCATATCTTGAGCTTCACATATGCCTCAAAATTCTTATATAATTCCATAATTGGAAGTGCATTGAGACAAGGGCCGCATGTAATAAGTGGACTACATTTGCTAGTTTTGTATCAAGTTCAACTTGACATTTATATATGCATTACTGTGCTAAACTGCATAGCCATATACTCAAGGACATGAACTACTTGTTCTTTAATTTTCATCAGTACATTTTCTTTGGACAAAAAAAGTAGTATCTTCAAAGGAAATAGAAGTAAAAGAGATGTTTCATTATTTCTAGTCTTGTAATTATATTGCAATTTACAGACTTTTCCATCACAAACAGATTAGTGTCCATACAAAGTTCTTGGCCGGGGGGAGAAACATTACTTGGCAGTGGGAGATTCATTGACCAACCAATTTCACTAACTTTAAGAACATGTGTAGTTGTTTGTTCAAAGCATCCACAGTGGAAATAACAGAATTATCCATCTATGAGGGCAATGCAAAATTTGTATCTCTGCATTACTTAGCAATTAGATCTTGTTTAACATCTTCAAATACTGAACAAGATCTTCTAATATGCTTCAATAAAATGAAAGTTGTGTGAATCAGATTATTAATATCAATCAAATCAAGCATTTTTTCAATTAAAACAACAAAAAGTTTCCTTCTTTATTTAAGGAGAAGTGATTGAGAGCTCTAAAACTAGAGTTCTAATATGAATTTTAGTGATGTGGTATGGAGGGGAAAAAAAAATGAAACAAAACAAAACAAAACACAAAGACACAAAAAAACACAAAAAAGCAAGCATAAACACTACATAGTAGATCCCACCATTAGAGCTCCTCTAGAGCTCTCAATCATTTTTGTTGTTAAGTATAACATAAACAGAACATTCCTATAAGCAATTACATTCCAATTAAACACTCTTCTAGAGATTTACTTAGCCTCAAGATTCTTTTTGAACCCCAAGAAGTAGTCAGAGAGCTTGTGGTGGTCAGGAAGTGACTTGGACACACACTCCCTTTCCATACACCTATGACCCCAAGCAACAAGTTTAGGGCACTCTGCCACAGTCCTGAAGTCGCCAAGCTGCTCAGTTGTATAGAAAAAGTTGTAAAATGGGATCAGTGCCACATCCACAAAGCCAAAGGTGTCACCCCCAAAATAAGGCTTGTCTCCAAGCTCTCCTTCCAACAGCTTCAAGCACCCAATGAGGTCATTCTTTGCTGCTTCTTGGGCTTCACCTGTGGACGACCACATCAACTTCCCACCACTATATATCTGTAGAACATACAGTAATTAAATGTTGGTAAGTAGGCGCAATATTTAAATCAATACTTAACAGTGGTTGGGTAAAACAGATATGGAAGAGTTAGGGCTCACCTTCTTGTCAACAAAATCAGCCCAGAACCTGGCTTGAGCTCGCTGGTGAGGATCACAAGGCAACAATGGAGATTTGTGGTTCCATACTTCATCGATGTACTGAACAATGATGAGTGACTCGCACACCGGTTTGCCGTTGTGGATCAACACTGGGACTTGCTTGTGAACAGGGTTCATCTTCAAGAACAGTGTACTCTTGTTGCTCAGGTCCTCTTCTCTGGACTCATAATCTACCCCTTTCTCAGCCAAGGCAATTTTCACCCTCGCGGCAAAAGGGCTAACCCAGAAGTCCAAGAGAATGACTTCGTCCGCCATTGATGATGATGTGTAAAAACTCAGTGAAGATGGAAGATTGACTGAAGAAGAAGAGAGAAGGAAGGTGTGTTTAGCGAATTGCGTTTAAGGTGTTTGTTTGCCAAAATCGGAGGTTGGAGCCAGTAGTATTTAAGTCATCGAAATCCCTTGTAGACCAAACCATCCCAAAGTCGTCGAAATGTCGACATCCCTTGTAGACTATACCAAAACATCCCAAAGTCCTCGAAATCCCTTGTAGAATTTCGGAGGTGCAATTTTTCTAGCATCTTCCGAAGGATCGTCATTGCGTGCGTCAAGATTTTTTATCTATGGGCAGAGAAGTTATTGGTTGGTTGTAGCACCCAATAGTTTTATGGTTGGAGCAGAGAGTGAAATTTTTAAATTTATGTTGAAGAATTGAAAAATATATAAAAAATATAATAAATTATGATTGATATGAAATATAATCACGTAATGTTTTAAGAGCATCTCCAATAATTCACTTAATTTTTTATTAAATTTGAGTAAAAAAATAATTATTTTCTCAATCTGATACAGAATGTTCCAATGGTTGATTTTCATCAAATCTGCTCCAGGGACAACCGGTCGGCTAGTCGACTGGTAAGGCAAAAAATTTTTTTTTTTTTTTTTTAAATTGTTTGAACCTACCTATTTGAACAGTTTGAACCTTTTAGTGGTCTACCGGCTGGTCAATCGATAAGGCAAAAATATTTTTTTTTTTTTGAATTGTTTGAACCAACCCATTTGAACTGTTTGAACCTTTTAGTGATCGACCGGTTGGTCAACCGGCCAGGCAACCAGCTGATTGACCGGTTCAGCTCTTCCAACGGTCAGGAACAATAATTTGGTAAAATCTGCAGTTTATTCTCAGTTTGATGATTTTTTTGCTGAATTCTCATTTTGATATCAATTTGGTGAAACGGTTGGAGCACCAAAAAGTACTTTTTTCACCAAAATTTAAATTTGATGCCAAGTTTAGTTCACCGTTGGAGATGGTCTAAGACTAATAATTTTGATAGAAAGTTCTAATAGAGATATTCTAAGGGGTTGTTTGGGGTCTCCTAAATAAGTGTACTTTTTGTTTTTTTAGATTTAAAAGTTGAGGAAAAAAATATGAATGTTTGGGTTAATTTTTTGACTTTTTATGAAAAAATATGTATTAAAATATTGTATAAAATTATAAAATTACGAAATTGCCCTCGCTGACAAGAGAGTGCAGTACTGGCAGTACACTTTATGTCTCTTTTCAAAAAAAAAAATTTATTTTTTTATTTTTTTATTTTTTTATGTGTGGCTACACAGTGTGCGATGTAACTTTTTGACTAGGATATGTGACTGCATCGTACCTGTGCAGCGCTGTTTTCCCTTTCTTTTTCTTTTTTTTTTTTTTTCAATTGAGAGATTTCCCTCCAAAAGGGATAAATAGTATGAAATTTTTTTACTTTTTTAGTGACTTTTTGAATTTTCTTAAAAATGTCAAACTTGGCCTAAAAACAATTCTAGTGAGTTGGCATTACACCAAAAAAAAGGAGGGGGTAAAAGACAAAACATAAAGAGAAAAAAGATAATTTAGGGATTGTTTGAGGTGTCCTAAGTGCACTTTTTGTCTTTTTGGATTAAAAAATTGAAGAAAAAAATATTGATGTTTGAGTTAATTTTTTGACTTTTTTTTAAAAAATGTATATTAAAAAATTGTATAAATAAGTGTGTAGGAGAAGATAGGGTAGGAGGTCGTATGAATTGGCAGTGGAGTCGGCTGGTTGAGTAGATGAGAAAATATTGTCTTTTTTTCGAGCTTTGATTGGATGGTGTTGTTTTGCCCGTGGGGGCCCACCACGGGTCCCATTTTTCTAATCGGAACCGTTCAATGTGTATAACTCGTCGAGTACTATATGCTTGTAAAAAATCACGTTGATTGGATATCGATAGCTATCTAATCAAACTAATTTTTTTGTTAACTGTTAACTATAACACCATCTAATTTTATACAAAACTGATTTGATCATGTAGTTAACGATATATGATAGACGTGATTTTTTACAGGCATATAATATTAGGCGAGTTTTACATATTAAACGGTTCGGATTATCAAAACGGAACCCATGGTGAGCTCTCACTGGCCCAACTTTACCATCAAATTTAATGAATATACACATAGAATTTTTTTTTTTCCTTTCACTAACTAGTTCGTCACGTCAGTGCCTAGATTTTATCAAAAAGTTGATTTGACTTAATATTTGTATATTAATTTTTTATTTTTTTTGATGAATGATTATAACTTTTTAACTTTTTTAATAATTTTTTGATTTTTTAACTTTTTTTTTAAGATTGTCAAATCAGTTCTTAATGCTCATTTAAAACTCTTCTTTTAGAGATCTCATCTATTTTTTTTTTTTAAGACTAAGGCCCCGTTTGTTTCGTTGGATATAAAATGGAGGATATAATATGATGTGGGATTTAGTCAGGATATATAATGAATAGGATATAAGTATTGGATAGTATATCCCCAAGTCATGTTTGTTGACTTGATATATAAGATTGGATATATGTTATGCATGTTTGTTTTACGAAATATATTGTGGGATATAACAAGTAATTTCCAAGATTGCCCTCATAATATTATATTATATTAAATAAAATAAAATAATATTATATTATATTAAATTCAAAATTTATATTAAATTAAATTAAATAATATTATATTAAATTAAATTAAATTAAATAATATTATATTATATTAAATTCAAAATTTGGTTTAAATTAAATAATATTATATTAAATTAAATGGAACCATTCTATTTAGGGTATGCATAGGTCAATTTGATTCGGATTTACCCTCAGCCTGGCAACCGAACCGAATGTATCGGATTGAAAAAATTGTCACTCGATGCCGACCCACAAGCCATTCAAAATCGATCGAGGCAAAACCTTCAGTTCGGCAGTCGATTTGGTCGATGCTATGAAAATCTCAAACAAAGGCCGTCACCATCGTTCACAGCCATCATCGATATACACCACTGCCACATTCGTTGAGTACTACCATCACCATCATCATCACCATCACCATTGCCGATGTTGAATAGCATCATCACGACCATCAATGATCACTACTACAATTGATTTCTAGCAATAGAGGGAGATTAAAAGAGAAAAAGGTTTTAGGAAAGAAGATCAAAGATGAATGTTAGCCTTTCTGGAGAGAGAAATCGAAAGGGATGATATAGGAAGAGAGAGACATATCATAGATAAGAGAGCAATTAAGAGAAACATTATTGAAGAGAGAGAGTTTTTTTTATTAGAAGAGAAAGAGTTCGTGTAATTAAAAAAGAGAGAAAAATTGATGATAAGTGATGAAGTTATTGGAAGTTGCATGAGAGAGAGAGAGAGAGAGAGAATTGTGATATATGATGGATGTTAGAAGCTATGTAATTGAAAGAGATACTCTCTCTCTAAGGCCGGTTGAACAAGGAGAAGGAACTAATGAAATGTTTTGATTCATGATTCAAGCATGCAAGGGCTCTAATGTGTTATATTGAGTGGGCCACTAAGGGTGGCAATTTGGTAATAAGTCCAGTTCATGTAATTTAACACCATTAATCTAATTTAATCATACCTAATCAGTTTTCAGATAATTATACCATAAAATCACATTAATTATGAGGATCCTAAAACATCAATCAATTCCCGGTTCGGCCGCCGACAAGGCCTTCAGTTAGCAGTTTAAACGTAAAACACGAACAGATCAAATAATCAATCAAACAGATAGATGCACAATTAAACAGATAGACTCAGTCAATTAATTCCAGATTCCAGTCAGTCAGTTCAGTACTTTAATCAGTCCAATTATCAGTCATAATCAGTCATTAATCGGTAAACAGTATGAGGGTTGTTACAATCTTGCCTAATGTGTCCAGGTAATCTTTAGCTATCTGGCTGATAAAGTAACTGGTTCCTATTTGTCTTCGGGCATATGTACTAGCTGACTCGAAATCATAAAATCGTTTATACTGAGGTGTGGGAAAATTTTTAACTAAGGGTTCAACTTCTATCCAGTCATGGTAAATACCAAGCTTGGTTCCTTTAGCTACTACATAAAAAGAAAAACTTTTAGACAAAGGTTTATTTTGGATTTTTGAAAAATATATACTAAGAGAGTTTAAGGCTGGCAGACGTTTAGCTGGGTGGCTATGGTTGTTCCAAAGGTTATCTAGAAGACACTGTTGAACTGGGTCTAGCTCAATTCCTGTTAATGGTCTGAACTTGTTTCTGCTTTCATGAATGAGAAGAGCATATCCCCTAAAGTTCATGGTTTTGTTGTTCTCCATTATCTGCACAAAAATTAAACTGGTTATTTTCTTTTTCTAAATAAATTTTCCTACTTAACCAATCTGTTAACCTATTATCACTCCCTTTAATATGTTCAAATTCTACTTTATATCCTTATCCTACTATATAGTCTAAAAATTTTGCCCATCTTCTAGTACTTAATTTGCGCTCGTTAAGTTTGTTATGAAATCTAACTATAGCTTCACAGTCTGTTCTAATTGTAAAGGGTTTGTGCAAAAATAATCTGAATTTGTTTATTGCATATACTACTCCTAGTATTTCAAACTCTAGGTTGATCATGGTCGTGTCTTTTTCTTTAAATTTTTCAGAACTATATCTACAAATGAGTTCTTTATTTTTTCTGTCATACTTACTAGGTTTAGCTAATAATATTGTTCCCCATCCTAATTGACTTGCGTCTGTTTCTACGATTATATATTCTGATTCCAAGGTAAGTTGTAGGTCTGGTAAATTTTTACAAATGTCTTTAATTTTCCTAACTAGAGCTATATCTTGTTGATTGAAATATTTTTGTCCTGTGGGTGTGGTCTTACTATATAGTGGTCCTATTATTTTACTAAGGTTGGGAATATGCATTCGTGCATAATTTAAAATTCCTAAAAATGATTGAAGTTATTTTGTATCTTCTAGTTTATTTGGATAATCTAAAATTTTCTTGACTACGTGAGGTTGTAACCTAATTTTTCCATCTCCTAACTCCATTCCTAAAAATTCTATATGAGGCTTATTTAATACCATCTTTTTCTTGCTAATTATTATTCCATTATCTATGAATTCTTCTAATGCTATATATAAATGATCTATGCGACTATTTTTATCTAGGCTA